AAATAATAATCAGAAATAGAAAATAAGAAACAAATCAAATAAATATATTACAAATGAAATAATAATCTCAGATAATCAAAATGATAAAGAATAAAATATAAACATTCTAATATAATAATTGAATGAATATAACATAATATAAATAATTAAAACAAACAAATAAATTCTAATAATCACAAATCAAATTATTTTATTTTATTCATTATTTCTTAGGATTCGAAGGTAGACGTCAGAGACACCACACAGAACCCTAAAATATTTCCATCCTTCGATTCCCCCAGTTATGGGCGGGAACCAAAATAAGCAAAGAAATAATGCATCTAAATAAAAAACACCCCCCCCCCCAAAAAAAAAAGAAAAGGGAAAAATATTTTGAATCAATAAAATAATAGTTTTTATTATTTTGCTCCTAAAAAATAAAAAATAAAAATGTAAATTAAATATTCATTTATATCTGTTTATATTTTATATCATTTTATGATAAATTGTTCTGAATTATAAATGATTCAGAAATGATATTTGATTCAATGTATGTATACATTTTTATTATTATGTATTTATGTATTTTATTATTATATATTTATGTATTTTATTATTATATATTTATGTATTTTATTATTATATTTATTTTTATTATTATATTATATATATCATCATATTATCTATATATTTTATATTTATCATATTTTATTAGTTTGATATTCTTATTATTTATATTTTATTTTATATATGAATACACTTCTATTTATATATAATTTATTATATATTAATACATTTCTTTATCTTATTTTCATTTTGATTATATTTTTATATTTTATATCTACTTTCTTTTTATATTTATTATTATTTTATATTGATTTTATTTATTATTTCATTTATATATTTTATTTATTATTATATCATTTCTTTTCTCTTATTATTTCTTTATCATTTATTATCATTCATTTAATTTTTATATCTTCTATCTATATCATATGAATTTATTATTTATTATTTATTTTATCTTTTCTTATTATTCTTTTATTATTTTATGTTTATTATATTTTATTTTTTTATTTCTTTTTCTATCTATTTTTTATTATTTTTATTTATTATATATATTTCTTTTATTCTTATTCTGTTATTATTTATATTTTTTATTTATTTTATTTATTCGATTGTTTAATAAAAAATATATTCAATTTTATTATTTGTTTATTATTATTATTTATTTTTATTTATATATTAATTTGATTATTATATTTATATTATATCTATTTTTTGTATTATTATTATTTATATTTTGTATTATTATTTATTTATTATTATCATTTTTATTTATCATTTTGTATTATATTATTCAATATTTCATGAATTTAATATTTATTATGAAATCATTTATTAATTATTTTATTTTATAATGATATATTATTTAAATTATTTTGTTATATCACATTGATTATTCAATATTTAATGATAAAATTTAATGATATAAGATTAAGATAATAGATATAAATAAAATGATGAATATTGAAACAACCATTTAAAATCAAAAATAAATAATAAGAAATAAGAATATAATATAAATAATAAATAATAAAGAAAAGAAAGATAATAAAAGAAATAAATAATAAATATAAATCAAATGATAATAATAAAAACAAATAATAAATAAATGATAAATAAATAAGAATAATCAAAAATATAATAAAAAGTAGTTAATTAAGTATTAATAGAACTTGTGTCTATTGTTCCTTGCTCAGGGGAAACTA